ATATATATATATATGTCTCAGTCCATTTATACTGGTAATATGATATCGTTCAATCCAAATTCCTTATTATCATTAACTTTAGAAAAGATCCAAGACTGATGACATAATTTAATATCAAGTTTCCAACTCTATAAATAACTTACAAAAGTTATGCTCATGACTCATGAACTAAGAGCATACAGGTAAGAAAGTAGTCTCTCAACACACATCTGCACACAAACACGATAATGCCTCTACATTTGAAATAGGAAAGAAATATGTATCCCACTTGTGAAAACCCCAAATAGTAACAGAGGCTGCAGTACAGAATTATAACCCTCCAATTAAGATCTTCAAACTCCTTCAAACCTAAACAACCCAAAGCTTACCCCCAAATTTCCAATCATGCTAACTTACCCAAGTCAGTTGACGTGTCGTAGCCAAGTCTTATCAACCAAAAAAAAATTCCAACCATGCGAGAAAGTTTTAGTACTCCTGATTGCACCAAACGATCTATTTCCAATGGGATTTCTTATGGGATTTGGATTGATTGGGACTTAGAATTCGGGTTGGATTAGAAGCCACATCAAAGACCCTATAATCTAACTATCCCAAGCGCCACTAACTCTATATTATTCATCCTAATAACATTTATCTCCTAGAAACCCTCAAACTAACCATTTTCTCTCTTTATCCAAATATAAAACCAAAATACCCAAGAAATTCTCCCACATGGATATTTCTCAAAACCCCAACTTCAATATTTTCCCCAACTCAACGGCATCTCATCTCTTTCCATGAGGAATGGTTCTCAAAATTATGGACATCAACAATAGAAAATATATTGGTTAGGGTCTGGGCTTAATTGGTCAGCAGTTGATGTTTGCAGCTGCATCCAAGGTTCCATCTTACCACTAACATACCCATCCCCCCACACACAAAAAAAGAAAAAGAGATTAAGAAGATACCACGAAATTCCTGCCGAAAATTTCCCAGCATCCCACTGAATCTATTAAACCTTAGAAAACTGAATGCAAAATGTCCATTGCTTTATTCAGAACTTATATGATAATTTATATAGTGGCTACAAGAAAATGTTATGATAGACCTAATTTAAAGATAAGACCTCAGTAACCAGAAATAAATATGGAAAACCATGAAGCTTAATTAATCACCAAAAGGTAAAGGATAAACCTTATATTTTGCAGCCAATACATTCTTCACAATCGTGAAGCTAATATCAAGGGAGGTCTTGGTATGAAATACTCCACCCATTGCAATCACCAGCTTCTCAAATTTAACCTGTAAAGCAATGAAGCAAAATAATTAACTAAATAAACATTTTAATAAAATAAAACTAAATTAATGCCACCTGAATAGATTCTGAATACAGTTAACAAATCAAATAGCAATCTTGAAATATCAAATCAGTGTTTCCAAACCAGCAGGTAAGATCGCTACCGGCGGGTCACGAAAATTTCTAAGATCTGATATTCAGGCTTTTTTTCAATTAAATTAAAAATACCAAATGTTTTTTGATGAAATTTGGTGCGTTTGAAAGATGATCGAAGCCTTTACATTGCATGTATGTTTATTTGTTCGATTTTTTAAACATTGAGAGTCGTTTTTTGCTCGAAATTTTGCTTGATTTTTGGGGTTTATGGAAAATCGATTTTTCTAAAAAAAATTATTTTGTTTGATAAAGTTATGTTTTTTGATGAAAATGGGAAGTGTTTTTTTATTTTGCTGAATAAAATTATTTTTAATAGAATTATGGTTTTTTAATAAAATTACGTTTTTTGATGAATATGGGAAGTGTTTTTCTATTTTGCTTAATAAAATTATTCTTTTTGATAAAATTATTTTTTGATGAAATTGATTCTTCTTTTTGATAAGTGCATGATGATGTCGCTCAATTTTTTTTAGTTATATTGTTTTAAGTGCATGATATAGTTATATTTGTAATGATGGAAATGAGACATTTTGTTTTTTTAAGTGCATGTAAAAATTTTGATTGCCTTATGTTCAATGAAACACTACACCATCGTCTTGTATGTGCTTGGTTCTTCTCTTTGTCCTTTTTTTTTTTTCTTTTTTCCCCATTTCTATCAATGTCTTTGGAATGTTATAGAAATGGTCTTTAAAGATCAGCTGATTTTTAAAAAATCGGCCGACTAACTCGAGATCGGTCACTGGCTAATCTCAATCTAGCCCGATTTCACAGAGAGAGAGAGAGAGAGTTTTACAAATGTGATCTTAATTTCAAATCATCCCTCACATTTTGAAAAATTGATTTTTTGTAAAAAAAATCATTTTTCTTAGTAAAATTATGTTTTGTTATCAATATGGGAAGGTTTTTTTTCTATATTGCTTAATAAAATTATTTGTTAAATAAAATTATGTTTTTTAATAAAAAATTATATTTTTTGATGAATATGGGAACTATTTTTCTATTTTGGTTAACAAAATTATTATTTTTGATAAAATTTTGGTTTTTAACAAAATTATGTTTTATGATGAATATGGGAAGTGGTTTTCCATTTTGCTTGGTAAAATTATTTTTTTGATAAAATTATGATTGTTTAATAAAATTATGTTTTATGATAAATAAGGGAAATGTTTTTCTATTTTGCTTAATAAAATTATTTTTTGATCAAATTATTAGTTCTACTGTTCTTATTTTTTGATAAAATCAATGCACAACACACTGATATGGATATGGTAGATACATATAAGAACAAATAAAAACAGTTGTGCATTGATTTTTCGTTTTGTGGCATGTCATGAGATGTACTTTTTGTGAAGTATGCCTTATTTACCTTCATCGAAAAAGTATTGTACGAATTATGCTCTATCTAACTATATGCAGGAGGTCCTTTCTATTTCTTGTCTTAATTAGTTAGTGCTTTTATTTGATTTAATAGCATCAAGCTACTTTTTTTATAATCAAAAAAATACATAAACTTTCATTCCTAATGTGAGCGATTTTTGTTCAAAAGAAACTAGAAAGTTTTACAATGTAAGTTTTGGAATCAATATGTTAATTCTTGGAAGAAGATGTTACATGACAAAATATGTTCAAAAAATATCCTAAGTTATTTTCATGTACAGGACCATAGTATTCAAATATTAATTTATAAAAAGCTGTTTCAATTTTTTTTTTGTAAGATAAATATATGTAATAAGATATTAAACACTTAATCTAATATTAAACACTTAATCTAAGTATTTCTTTTCTTTTTTTTCTTTTTTTTTTTTTTTTTTTTTTTTTTGGGAGTTTTTGATCCATTTTTTTAAAAAGAAAATCTACTTGACCGGTTAGTCCGGTTAACCGCCCCGGTTAGTCCGGTTCCGGTTCAAACCGCTCCCAGCCCCATGTCCGGTAAACCGTTCTGGTTCGATTTTCCAAACACTGTATCAAATACAATATAGGACAACGACAGAGTACTAAGACATGTTTGGTGCGCTTACGACCTCAAAAAAAAACAAAGGTGCCATACCTTCTCTTCCATATCAAATCCAGATGCGAGCACTTTCACACCATCCATCGCAAGGCAACAGGTATAGCCCTGTTTGGGCAAACTTCTTTGATCCTTTGCACAGGAAATAATGCATTCGGGGCCTGCCAAATCATTTGTATCAAACAACCCACCATTCTTTATAGAAAGGTCCATAAACAAGCAACTCCCACAAATTGTACAACTAATTAAAGGAAGAATTGAAGAACATGAATTAGGAAAGCCTAAAAATAACAAACTCATATTCAAGTAACATAGAAAGAAACACTTAAAGAGAGCAGCACATTTAAATGCATAATAAGAATTTACTCATTGTTCTTTCTTTTATAATTGTTTATCTAAAGTACAATGTGATTTTACAAAGCCACAGTACAACTAGCATAGCCAGTTCATACATTTTTTGGTTTTTTTTTTTTTTTCAAAGTGACAGTGTTTAGTTAACTAATCACTATCATTTAAAAAAAAAATGAAATAGTTGTGATCAAAACATTTACCAGAAATCACAGTTAAAGGAATCTCAATCCTAACTATTGGAAATGAAAGCACCATTCAAAACCAAGGAAAGGGACTCACGAAACAGAATTAGGGCATACCAAGTAAATTGCAACCATTGGCCCTGAGAAGCTCGAATTTCTCCTGGAGAACACAGAAAAATAGAGAGAGGGAGAGAGAAAGAGAGCATTAGGTATCTGAAGCAGCACGGAGAGAGAAAGTAAGGGGGGAAAGGCAAAAGAAGAAAAAAGGAAATAGATAGGTAGATACATGATCAGGAGAGGAGATGACATGGTACTCGTTGGGAGCGGATCTGGAAGGGTCACAGCAGAGGCAGATTTGAGCGGAGTTGAGTTTCAGGGCATCGTGGATGGTGTCAAAAATCTCCGGAGCCACCAGACTTCGGGAAAGGAACACTGTCTTCCCTTTGAACGCCATCTCTCTCTCTCTCTC